TTTAGGATCATGCCATATTATATGTTGCATCCTTGGATCGTATTAGACCAACTGCCTATTATAAATATTCACATTTGCAACTGACATTTGATTATGAACCTGATATTTTTCACCTACGAATTTTTGTTTGTGTTATTCAAATCCCTATTTCACCCCACATCGTACTAAAATGGGTCTTTAACAAGACTTGAGATTTATGTATGTTTTGATTCACCATCTGTTGTTAGATATCTTGAACCTTTAACATGTGATTTATTTACTGCACGTTCGTAAATTATTATTTTGATTTAATGACTTTCCCAATTTTGGGAGGGAAAAACTATATTCTAAAAAAACTAAGTAAAATTTTTTAGAATGAAACAACTCTAACTCACTTTGATCCCTATAACAATCAATGTGAGCAGGAGGTTAAAAAAAATCATTCATTTGAAAAAGTTGAAAATCAATTATCTAATGTATTTGTTGACACAAGAAAAGTGATAAAGTCATATATTCCAGTAGAAAATATTTCAGCAAAAATTAATGTGCCCGAAAGATAATCTGTTGTAGAAAACGAACCTTAAATACGCCAGAAACATAGTCGACCAATAGGTTCAAAATACTCTATATCTTGAAAAAGAAAAATAAAAGAGAAAATTCACAGAAAACTTTGAAAGAAGTAATATTAAAAAAAATGATTAATCAAATATTGAAAATGTAGTTCTTGAAGAATTACAAGTTTTCGAAAATAATGAAATTTCAATAAATTATGTATTATCTTGTAAATTATGAGAATGGAATAATTTTGTTATATATAATATTTTTTCATTTATCGTGGCTCTTGATATTATGCAAAATGATGATTCTGAACTATAGCCAGTTAAAGACTGTCAACATAGAAATAATTGGCCACAATGGAAAGAAGTTATACAGGCGGAATTGAATTCCTTAGAGAAGGGAAAGTGTTTAACTTGTAGTTTGAGCACCTGAAAAAATAATTCCTATTGAATACAAATGAATTTTTGTATGAAATAGAAATAAAAATAATGATATTACAAGATACAAATCCCGACTTGTAGCTCAAGGTTTCGAACAAAAATCAAGAATTAATTATGATGAAACATATTCTCCCGTAATGGACACCATCACTTTTAGATTCTTAATTAGTTTGATTGGGTCACAAAAATTCGATATGCGCCTTATAGATGAAGTAACAGCCTATTTGTATGGTTCATTTGATAATGACATATATACCCCTTGTTTGCTAGTTATTATTTGAGAAATTAAAGAGTTTTAAAAAGTATTTTTTGAAAAATACGTGGTTAAAAATAAATAAATAAATTTATTGATTTGTGTATAGAACAATTTATTGTGTGAATGAGTCATAAAAAATGATACTGTAGCAAATAGTTTAAAATTTTGAAGGGGGTCAAATGGACACATATATGAAAGTACCCGAATGACTTAAAGTGCCAAAAACAAATGATACATGCTCGAGAATCATATTCTCAATTGAATTGTAAATATCATTATATGTATTGAAACATTACAGACGTATGTGGTATAATCGTCATAGTAAATATTTGTTAAATGAGGGTTATAAAAATGACGATGTCTAATCATTATTTTTATAAAGAAAACAATTATTGAATTTGCAACTATGACAGTTTATGTTGATGATTTAAATTTAATTGAAACTCCTAAGAACACAACAAAATTGCTTGTATTTGAAAAATGAATTTGAGATGAAATATTAGGAAAAATCGAATTTTATCTTGAGTTGCAAATTGAACACTTCCTAAAATGATTATTTGTTCATCAATCTACACATATAGAAAAAGTTTTAAAATGTTTTTATATAGATAATGGACATTCATTAACATTTCTTGCGGTTATTCGATTACTTGATGTGAAAAATGATCCATTTCGTCTACTTGAAAATGGAGAAAATGTTTTTGGTTCTGAAATACCATATCTTAGTGCAATTAGAGAATTAACTTATCTTGCAAACTGCACTCGATCCGACCTAGCATTTTCTGCAAATATCCTTCAAGATATAGTTCTACACCAACTCAAAGATATTCGAATGGTGTTAAACATATTTTTCGTTACCTAAAGGCACTGTTGATTTAAGATTATTATATTTTCAAAAATTGGGATCTGTGTTTGTGGGATATGCATATATGGTTATCTTTCTGACTTACATAAAGCTAAATCACAAATAGAATATGTGTTTACATGTGATTGAACAGTTATATCATGAAGATTTGTGAAACAATCCTTAACAGTAACATTTTTAAATCATTCTGAAATTATTGCAATCTATGAAGCATGACGAGAATATGTATGGTCAACGAACATGACCCATTATATCCAAGTATCATGAGGGTTAACTTAAACAAAAGATAGTACAACAATCTTTTATGAAGATAATGCAGCTTGTATTACACAACTCAAAAGATATTATATTAATGGTAACAGGACGAAACATATTTTTCTAAAATTCTTTCATACCCATGAACTTCAAAAGTATAAGATCGGAATTAATCGACTTCAAGATTTCTAGTAATCAACATCAGGGGAGTACATATACTCTTTTTCATTTGATTAGGTTTTATCCCACTAGATTTTCATAACAATATTTTAATGAGGCAGATATTCTGTAATGTTCCATTCAAGGGGCAGTGTTGTAAATGATAAATTAATTAGTGAATGACAATTATATTTCTGCAACCCTAGAAATTATTACCATTTTATTTATGATTCTTCCACATAAATATAAGCTTTAATTCTTAATAAAAGACACAAATCTATTGATTTTCTTTTTCTCTCTTTTATAAAAGATAATATACTTTTTTCTATAAATAAAACAAAATAATATATTTTTCCTATTTTCTCCATCTTTTTCCCTAATTTCAGCCCCTATATCCTACATATCTATATTTATTGGCCAAAAAGTTTAGTAAAAGTTAATGTCTAATTAGGTCAAAATTGGTTTAATAATATATATAGCCCTTGAATTTCAATTACAATTGGGTCTAACTTTATAGAGCTACCACATAACATGTTCGTACATACGCTTTTCAAGCTCCAATAATTAGTTAACTATAGACCACCAAATTTAATTGTTAATCTTCGAATTTATTATTAAAGGTAAAAAGATCACGCTTTTGAAGTAGATAATACCGAATGAGTTATATATATATTTATAATGTTTTCCTTTGACTTACCATGTAAGTATTTAATCCTCATTTGAGATTCAATATATATATTGTTGACACGCCAGAGTGAGCCAATGAATAACCTTTGCTTTAACCCTCCATTTTTATAGGGATGGCCATAATTGACGTACCACCAAACTTATATTATTGCCACCAAGATCTGCATTGATATAAATGTTCAATATCTTAGGAAAGCATTCAATGCCTCCACACGACTTTCCATGTAATATTTGGCCCCATTTTTTTGAAATGAAAATGGTTATAATATATATATATATATATATATTACATGGAAAATTTTCTTAAAATGAGTATTTGAAAAAGAAGGAAATTTTTTTGATTTATGTGTAATATCATTTTATGGAAGATTGTACATTTAAAAGGAAGAGAGAAAAAATAAAATATAATTTAATGGAGACGGGGGCCAAGAATTGACTCAAGGGATTGAGTCATTTCTTCAATTCTACTTTATATATATTTGTTAGAATATTTAACCTAATTATGTCTTTGGTTATTATTTCTTAGGATTCTAGCCTACCAATTAAGTGCGCAACTAATGATTTAGTTAGTAACTAGGTTTTGTCATAAATCATTCTTAGACCCTGCTTCGTTTATATTCTTTAAAATTTATTTTTTTTCCTTAAATTTATTTTCAATCGCATTTTCCAAATAAAATAAATTTGTATGTAAATTCATAACTTTTTGTTACTTTTTAATTACATGTTCTTAAAAATCACTTTTCACAAAATTATTATTTAAAAATCGAAATCAAATCGGCCATTTGAATCAATATGTATTTAAATGTGTATTTCGTTATTGCTGTTTTTTCGCTTCACATTGCTTCTTTTTCAAAAAAGAAATGAATAAGTTATAAACAATTTAATTTATAAATAGATAAAATGAATGAAGAATAAGTAGATAGTGTTTGTGGATCCATTCGAATGTGTGATTGTAAATGAAATTTGACTATTTATAAATGATATATATATATAATTTTTAAAATTCAAATTATTCTTATCATTTCAATTTTATTTGGAAAAAAAACATTTATTCTTTTTTTTTTCATCGCCATTGCGAAAGGCCACAAAGAATTCACCATCAAGCCTTTGTTTGGTATGAATTAAAATTAGCACTTGTTTGAAGCTCAAAATTCATTTTCAACCACACATTCTCCAATAAAATAATTTTACATGTAAATCGAAAAGTTTTTCTTATTTTTTAACCACTTTTTTTTCAAAAAAACACTATTCTAAAAAAATATTACTCCAAAACCGGGCTCAAACAAAAGTATTAATAGATTTTGATCAAAGTGGATGAAATATTTGATTGAAAAATTGTGAATCCTACGAAATATGTGATTAAAATTAATTAATTTTGATTTAAATTAAAATCTAATTTTAATTCCTAAGAGTTAGATAGTTATATCGCTTATTTATATGGTTGATCAAAATCCCATGGAATTAGTAGTATGCTACATCGATATAATTATTTATAGATTGATAACATAACATTTTTTCAAAATTTAACTGATTTCTCTCCTTCTCTTTCCCTCTCTCTTCCTCTTTACCTGAACCTATAAATAATTATATTTAAATAAGATTACTCTATTCTTGTTAAAAGGATATTAAAATTAGATTTTTATTAAATTTTGATAAAATTTGATATAATGTATGATTGAAAATTTCGATCCTACATAATTCACTTTGACTTTAATTTAAAATTTTAATTTTAATTTTTACCAAACCAGACTCTATAATTAATTCACCGCGTCCTATAACAGTTAATCAGTCCACTGTCCGCCGAGCCCCATTCAATATTCAATATCCCTTGTCTTCATATACGCCACTCTTCTCTGTCTCTCTATACTCTTAACTCAGATCGACTAGGCCAAATTCACTTCCAATGGCCGGATTTTTCTCAAATTTCCGGCGAAGTTACCTCACAATCTACAATTGGACCGTATTCATCGGATGGTTACAAGTATTTTACCTTTCTGTGATGACGCTGAAACAATCCGGCCACGAACATGTCTACGCCACCGTTGAGAAGCCGCTGCTCTGGGCACAATCCGCTGCTGTATTCGAGATTCTACACGGCCTAATTGGATTGGTCAGATCTCCGGTCAGTGCTACGCTGCCCCAAATTAGCTCCAGATTGTACGTGGTGTGGGGGATTTTGTGGAGTTTTCCTGAACTAAGGACTCATTTTTTCGTGAGTTCACTGGTGATTAGTTGGTCAATTACTGAAATTATTCGATATTCGTTTTTCGGGTTGAAGGAAGCTTTTGGTTCTGCTCCATCCTGGCTGCTTTGGCTGAGGTACAGCACCTTTCTTATACTGTACCCTACGGGAATTTCAAGTGAAGTGGGTTTGACATACATTGCGCTGCCTTACATGAAGGAATCATTGAAATACAGTATAAGCATGCCTAACAAATGGAATTTTTCATTCGATTACTATTACTTGGCACTTGGGATTCTCGGCGTTTATGTTCCGGGAAGTCCTCATTTGTACGGATACATGCTTGGCCAGAGGAAAAAGGCACTTGCCAAAGCCAAAAGTGAGTAGATTCCAATCTCGAATCTGCATTGAATTCTGGGTTAAGGAATTGGCTCTGAATAATTTAGTTCTTGTAGATCTGTGTGTTTTCAAAGATTTGGATCCAATTGATATGATGTAATAGCTCCGTACCTTTGATCGTGATTCTTGAACTACTTTCTACATACACTTGACCCCGTTTAAAATCGGTTTTCTATTTGCTATTTTCGATAATCCCGAGCGTTGTGTTCCCTGTCAAGAAAATGAGTTAAAAAAAAAAGTACGTCGATATAGAAAAAGTGGAATTTGCTCATGTGATAGAGAAAAAGTGGAATTTGCTCATGTGATAGAGAAGCTGACCGCCTCCTTAACAGGAGCCCCACAAATGAAGGTGGGGTCTGCAAAAAAAAAAAAAAAAAAAAAAGAACCCCCCCCCCCAATCCCGAGCGTTGTGTTCCCTGTCAAGAAAATGAGTTAAAAAAAAAAGTACGTCGATATAGAAAAAGTGGAATTTGCTCATGTGATAGAGAAGCTGACCGCCTCCTTAACAGGAGCCCCACAAATGAAGGTGGGGTCTGCAAAAAAAAAAAAAAAAAAAAATGTACCTCCACCCCCTATTTGTGGGGTTCAGTCAGGGGGCAGTCAACCCCTAATTACTGTAGCAAAGTCCTAAAGTTGGATATAGTAGGTAGACCAAATATTAAACAGCTTCCTGCCTTCCCATACCATAATCATGACTTGGATCATATACCTACTGCAAGTGGAATACAAATTAAAGCCTCTTCGAAGATTTTTTGAATTAAGGGCAGTTTGATTTTCATTTTTCTCAAATTACATTTTTGTCTTTTTTTCTACAACAGATTCTTCATTAAAATAATATTGCACGTAAATTAAAAATTTTTCATCTGCACATTCTCTATTAATCTATTATTTTAAAATTCATTTTTCCTGAAAAATGGGTATCAAACACTCTCATAACATATGAATTAATCTATGGGCATAGGAAAATATCACAGAATGCCTATAGGAATTTGAAATTGCTGACTTGGCAGCTTGCAATTAATTTACCCAAAAAATCGGCCAACTCCAAAATCGATTTGAACCCCAAATTGAAATTACAATTATTCCCCCAAAACCCCAAATCATAGAGCCTTCCCAAAAGGAAAAACCTCCCCTGCCACTTTCTTCATCCCGAATTCGGAGCAAATTCTGCAGCCCAGTGATTGTCCCTGCCTTTCGACGCAGGGGAAGAGCATTCATGGCAAAACTTTCTGTCCCATTGTTTTGGTACACGAAGAAAATCTCGTTTTGGCACGCAAATAAAATCTCCCACAAGCAATTTCGGGTCCCGCCTTCACAGTCCTGTACCGTTTCGCAAGGTTCGTTCACTTACTTCATCTGTAAGAAATAAATTCCTACCTTCTAATGCAAGATACCATGTGTGATTCTTTGGGTTTTAGGAATGAAGATTCTTGGTTATAGATATAGTTTGATTTTTCCCCATTTCGTGTCACAAGAGTCGAATTATGTTTGATGCGTGAATCGTTGGGTTTAGGAATGAAGATTTCTCATATGTAGGATGGCTGTGTATATACCTATTCTGATAGGGAAAAAACATGATTTGGAATGACGTCGAGATTTAGAATTTTAGAGTTGTATCTGTGTTGGCTACAACTCGTGTCATTTTTCAACTTCTTAATCAAACGAACGAAAATGTTTGTGATGGAGAACATCCACGTTTTACCTCTGTTATTTTTAGGTTCGAGGTACAGTCTTAAGTTTGAGATGTTATAGCACTGCATGACTAGAATATAATGGTTATGATTTGTTAATTGTCTAGTTCATTTTGATAGAGTCATCTATGACTAATTAGTTGCTCTATTTTGAACATAAGTTCCAAAGTGGGATTCCGTAATTCAGTTGCATTCATGATAGTTTATTTGTTTCTTCAACGGTTGATTAGAACGAGAGAGGAATTTTGGAGTTTGTCACTACTTTGGACAATGTCAAACAAACGGTAGATGCCCTTCATGTAAACGCGGATTTCAAAAATGTTTTGAGGTCGAATGGGATAGTGGAAACAAAGGATGCTTGTTCTTCACGTGTAGTAACGTCTGTGGGTATTTCGACTGGGTGAAAAATGAAGATTTAATTGGGGAATCGAGTGTCGTTAATGAAGCGGTGAATCATAAGTCCAACGAAGAATATGAAGACTTGCCAAGAATCTTTTACAGTCTAGCTTGAATTACCGAGAAACAAGACGTCATCATATCATTGCACGTAACATTTCGGAAAGAAAAAGGAATTTTCGAATGTGATGAGAAAGGAAAGGGACCAACTTCAATGGGTGATGTCGAGTATTTTCCATATGACTTGTTTGTAATGTACGAACTTACAAAAATTAATTTCGTTTCTAACGTATGAACTTCTTGAATTTAGTAGGTTTTAAAGTACAATGGTTAATTTTTTCAACGTCATTCGAGCGTCGGACATAAGTTTACTATTTTGCGAATCATTGTAATCTATTAACGGGTTGAATTTATGTTTCTTATCATTGTTTGTCTTGTGAATCATTGTAATAAATTAATGGCGTGGATTTATGTTTCTCATATGACATGAATTTGTGAAAGATGCATAAAAATAGTGGATAGATTTTGAACTTTTTGTTGTGACTTAAGGATTCTAACGTATGCAGATTGGTCATTGCTGTGATTACGTTTTGATTGATCAATTTACTGATAAAAAATTTATGACTAAATAATAGACTTCATGATTGATCATTCTGATTAAGCCAGTGCCAACCATAATGCAGTAACAATTAACAATAAGGTCATTGATTATCAAAATCCTAAATCATGCTAAAATTAATAAAAATCAATGATATAAAAAGTTGTTCAAATAAGCCAAGTTCACCACAAACAAATTACATCAATTTTGGGGTTTATGCGTTCACTAGCCTTGTTCAAATCTAGTAAAACAATTGTCCAGGTGAAATGAATTGCCAGAAAAGGAGAATGTGATCTTAAATTACTGCACCCAACAAGTTATTGAACAACGTCAAAAGAACATGTCAAAAGAAGGAGGAAGGGATGATTGAGAAATAGAATCATGCAAATTATCATTCTAGACAAGATCAGGCTACAAATTTCAAAAATGTGATTTACCTTGATTTAGTGTAAATGTATGGGTTTATATGTATTTTTCCATTGATTTAGTATAAATGTATGGGTTTATATGAATTTTTCCATACATTTGCTGCAAGTGAACATCAATTAATCAAGGAAATCTACGCAGACGATGGACAATGATTGAAGGAAAAAAAATTACGACAAAAGCACAATACAAGCTTTATTTCTCATCTTTCAAGAACATTCTTACACTGACATTATTGATCCCAAGATGCAGCTCATGTTGCCTCACGTGACAAATGTCCCGATTTTTCATCACACAATATTTACGAAGTGGAGTAATATTAACTTTAGAAAGTTTAAATGTGATGTTGTCTACTGAAACTTTTGTCTTCAAGCTAAGATCGTCGATGCACGGCACAGTCAGTTTGTCGGCGGGGACAATCACGGGCTGCCCGATTCGATCTTCGGCTGCGGGATGAAAGAAAGCGCCGGGTGTGATTTGGGGTTTTGGGGGAATTGTGAAAATTGTAATTTCAATTTGGGGGAAAATGCAAGTTAAGTTTTTGGGTTCAAACCGGTTTTGGAGTTGGCCCGGTTTTTTAGGTTCACTTTTTTGGAAAAATTAAATGCAAGCTGCCAAGTCAACAGTTTCAAATTCCTGTACGCATTCTGTGTTATTTTCTAGTACCCATAGACTGATTGTAATATATTCTTTATTTTAGGCTTCGTTTGATTTTCAATTTTTTTCAAAATATATTTTTTTTCTCTTCTTTTCAATCATGTATTATTCATTAAAATAATATTACAGTAAATAAAAAATATTTTCGTATTTTTCAATGACATATTCTTTATCAATCTACTATTCTAAAATGTATTTTTCATAAAAATGAGACTCAAACACCCTCTTAAAGAGTGAATCCGTAAAATTATGTTACAAGATCTTTAAATTAATATTTCAAAATAGATAATAATTTTGACTCTGTAAATTTAGAGAGTCAAACCCACTCTCTATAAATAATTGCATTCAAAGTTTTTCATTTTATGAAGAAAAATAATATAATGATTTGGAAGAAAACTAATGAAAGTAAAAGACAAAGAAAATCAATAAATATTTTTTGGAGTAGTAAAATTAAATATTAAATATAAAAAATATATTGAAATACTTGAAAAATTTTACTCTTTAAATTTATAGATACTCTATAAATTTTAAAATATGCTCCTTAAAAAAAAGAATCGTTTTCAGATGCTCTAGTCAATTAATCAAGTAGAAACAATATATATATATATATATATATATATATATATATATTCCCTTTATGTAAGGAGATGACTCAAAACCGCCAAGACGTGATAAACTTAATTGTTTAGTCAACGAGACTAACAAAAGTCATTTCAAGTCTATAAAACATACTATTAAGCAATACAGTCCTGCTATTGATCCAGGCTCAGTAATAGGCTCAAAAACAGGCACTGAGGTGGCACCTCGACTTCCTTTTTTTAGCCTGGTTTTGCACCTGGCTGAGTAACATTTTTCTGAGCAATATTCTTATCTACTCCATGAACTAGGGTAGGGATTTTTATTTTTATTTTTAAAATTTTTGCACTGATTTAATACATAGAGAAAAATAATTCATAGTTTTTAAAAAAAAAATTAAAAAATTAAAAGTAAAGAGTGACTTGGATTGTCTTGAGCTAAATGTCCTTGCGTCAACTACCCTCGCAACCATACAAGTAGAAGTTACACGAGACTAGGGCTGAGCAAATCTTCCGAACTGAACTGAACCCGACGGTTCTTGCCAAATTAAATACCCGAACGGGTATCTGAATTGAGAACCGACGGGTATGGTTCGGTTTTCGGTTCTAGACCAAGAACCGAATCTTTCTAATTTTTTTTTTATATTGAGTAAATCAAATTATTTTAATTTTAATTTTTTTCTAAACAAATTAACAATTTAACGATTTCTAAATCCAAATTTTTGACCCAATAATTTGTTTCATTTCTAATTTTTTAATTTTTGGCCCAATTATCCATTTTATTGTTTCATTTCTTAGCCAAATAAGATCAAATTCACTAAATAACCCTAAACACCTACACTAAAGTGC